CCTATAAACATTATCGTATATTCATTTAAATCTGAATATAACGCACCTCTACAATTTCAACTTTCTTATCTAGCTCAAGTCTTTGTTCGTCGAATATATTTTCAGGTAAAGTAACCTTGTTCATCTTTGCAGCTTTCTCGAGTACTTTCTCAGCCTTGTCGTATTTTCCTTGCTGTACAAGCCATCGTACAGATTCAGGAATCAACCTAAAATAGAAATACTACTACGACTGATCACATTAAGACCCAAAGCAGTATCAGGGGGAAAATCCTTTCTTCTCTCAGGTTCTCCACACTTGTCAGGGGGGAACTCGTCTCGTCTCTCTATCTCGTCCCCTTGAGGTACGGGATCGGGAAAGTCACTTTAACTTTACAGTCAAATAAGACACACACAACGAAATACGTTTCAACTCTCGTCTTAGTCGATCTTTTGGAGCACTCTATAAGACACAGCGCCCTGGGGAAAAGTCCCCAAGACTATATCGCAAGGCTGACCCAAGACTCTCTTAGACTGCGTCAAGGCTCGCCCCAAGTCTCTCCAGGACTGCGTCTGTCGTGGAGTATTCGCCAAGACCAACTCAAACTCTCTTTATTCATTTTCAAAACTCTAACCAATTCCAATGCAGTAAAAAGACTCTAGGGCGTAACCTTCAATCATAAAGCCAATCACACTAAGTACTGAATACGTCATATCTTTTGATTAATCGTTCACTACATTAATAACTACGGATGTCAGAATAGCGACGGTATCTTGTAATTAGTTCCAAACCACTGAGCCAAGTTCCGTCCAAAACTTCAAATAGACCTAAACGATGACGGACATAACACAGCAATTCGCTAATAATCAGTTAATTAAGTCGGTCAACAGATACGCAAAAACAAATTCATGACACATCCTTTCACCCAAACTGAGATATGCCTCTCGGCATTGCACGTTCACAAATCAAAGATACCGTCAGCCACTCATCGTCATACGGGTTAAATACAATACTAATAATAAAAGGTATAAATCAAAAAGAGTAAAACACACTAATTAAGTACAATGATTATAAAGTCTAAATACAATGGTTATAAAGTCTCAAATATCAACGGTTATAAATCAAAAACAAGAGAAAGGCTACCAAAGGACTCACTTTTCTCAAACAGTTCGCTGAGGGTAACCCTTCGCTGCACTGTCTCTCGTTACTAAGGTTACAAACTCTATATCAAAAGGTCAAAAAGCTAAGGCGTGGCGGTGTAACCATGCGATCAGCCAATCGCTGCAGTCGACAGCGTGATCACGTGATTACCAGGGGTGCGTCTCTCGGTTAAAGCATTGCAAAGCGGTAACTAATAAAGAATGAAAAAAAGCTATTAATCAAACTCCTGTCATATACGCTTATGAACTTCAACTGAACTCACAATTCGTTAATCTAAACAAAAGTCATACGGCGTGGTAACAGAATGCAAAGACAAAGCCGCTATATAAAACATTACTCCTCTGGCAAATAAGACGGGGAAAAGCGAAACGATAGAAATTACTAAGTTACATATAAACCTGTCAATCGTGAACAAAAGCTTGCGATATCAAACAATACGTATATAAGCGCACCAAACTCTCACCTCAAAAAGACATTAAAAAACGTTACAAAGGTGCTATCAACTCAAAAAAGCGTCAGAAGTATTCCGGAAACAACACATAAACAAAAACAACTCTTGAAACGTCGATATCTCTTTACTCGACAAATCTCAAAACTCTGAAAAACTCACGTGGGGGCATCATTCCTCCCATCATATTCCGTACTCATAAACTCATAAAAACTCCATAAAAACATCACAAAACTCAAAACACTGTGTTGCAAATACTTGTCCACTGAAACGCGCTTAAATCGTTGTAAAGGACCTCGCACGTCACTAAATATCAGTTCAAAACAAAGATCTGGGCGCTCACGTACATACAATTCAACATTACAAAAAAATGGTAAAACAATAGGAAAAGCAAGCAATACATTACATTACTGAGCAATAGGGTTAGGGTTCTGGAAAAGAGTTCAACGTCCTTATGTTACAGAGTGTCAGTTACAGTGTCCAACGAGCGGTTCTCTAAGCAATACACAGATAGCTAAAGTCAAAGTCTATAAGCGTCTCCTCTTTTGTCGCGTTATTCCGGGTCGTTCTTTGTCATCTTCTTGTCTTTAATGTCGCTCAATTCTTAATTATACAGTCCTATCCGGTACTGGTCCTTCCGAAGGGGTTCTGAAATCTTCATCTCTTCAGCGTTGTACATCGGTGTCGTACTGTTAACGATGTTAGTCGTCAAGCGCGGTTTCGTCTCTGCCATCGAGCCAGTTAGTTCGGTTCACAAGAAAGACACATCTTCGCCATTTCACTTCTCTTCACAGGATGTCAATGTGTGTAAAACACAATGCCCGGGTTCTCCACCACGTATCAGGGGGAAAATCCTTTCTTCTCTCAGGTTCTCCACACTTGTCAGGGGGGAACTCGTCTCGTCTCTCTATCTCGTCCCCTTGAGGTACGGGATCGGGAAAGTCACTTTAACTTTACAGTCAAATAAGACACACACAACGAAATACGTTTCAA